TTTTTTGTTTTGTTTGGCACATTTCATCCATTTACTCTCCTGCTGAAATGCCTTGTCTTTTCCCATTATAGCAGTGGCATCTGCTTTATCTGTCATCTTTTTCTGTCTTTCCCTACAATGCTTTTCACTAGTGGTTTAGCTTCTGCTACTCCTTTTGTACCTTCTTCCTAATTTTTTTAATTCTTACCATTTTGGAGTTCTCCCTTCTCTTGGCAAAGGGCCACATTTTCTGCCTGTGATTTTCTCCAGTTATGACTCTTGCAGTTTAATAACATTGCTGCTGAGCTAACCTTGGGCCAGCTGAGTCACTTTCACCTGTGTTTGACAAAGCCTCAAATGAATTCCTCAGCATCGATCTGAGCTTTCTCACAGTATCTTTCTGCAGTTTCATTTTGTGCTGTTTGCCAATGCTGACTACTGCTTGAAATCACTAATTTGCAGTTTCATTTACATGTTGGCAATGCCACGATTTTGGTCAGTGGTACCAGCGATAGTTTGGAGTAACTGTGTCTCAGACAAATGAGTTTAATTTTGTTTTGCCACCTATTGAACATGCAAGTCTACATGAGTAACTACAATGCTTTCAAGAAGAGGCATGAAATCTAACTTAATGACTCTTTGCCAGGAGAACAAAAGAATGGCTTTCTGATTCAGAATCTAGTGTCTACCTCAGGTCATGGCCTGTGCTGCATTATTAACGGAGAACACCAGAGAGTGATCCTTCCTGGTCTATCTTCCCAGTTTCCAACAATAAAAATCATGGAATTCCTGCACCAGATATTTCATCAAAACCACTGAGTTTAAACAGCCAATAATGGAAATATCCTTCATGATTCCTTCTAAACTCTGTTTGAATTGATTTATACTTTGGGATCTATGATATTCTTTGCCAATGAGTGACATAAAGCAACTAAAAGTTGTGTAAAACACCTACTTGGTTTTTTTTAACCACTTGAGAGATCCCTTGAACACCATCTAGTGATATCTTAAGAGGCACCATGAATATTTGTTCACATGTCAACATCTCCCCGTCTTATATGATTTTATACCATATTTCCTGCACTGCCTTTTCCTCTGTCATCTCTTGGTCACCTACAACAAGTGTAGCTCACCTAGCCCCTTGAGATCATAATTTTTAAGAGCTTTTGGTGGTGGACCTTGGAATAAGTACTCTCATATCCACATGTTCATAATCCACCTTCACAGAGCTATAAATATATTTGTACGGCATCACATTCTCACAAAAGCACTTTCCACACTTATCCATGGACCTAGTAGTTCTAATTTTTATTACCATTTCTATGAATTTGCAAGCATGTAAGCTGGACCTACTGATCTTTAGTTCTTGTCACCATGACAGGAAGTCTTTACAAACACAGACGTCACATTTCCTATTTTCCATTCCTCCTCTACTGTTACTAATGTAAGCAGTAGCTTACTCCACAGTAAATAATTCAGCAGTTTTGTAGAGGAGTTCTTTCAGAAGTCTGAAGAAGAGGACTCTTTAGAGGAACCTTCAGAAGTTCTAAAAGAAGAGACTGAAAACTTCAGAGACTTCTAAAGGTTCCCCTAAAGAGAAGCCTGACTTTTAGAAGCCAGTCATCTGGCTTGCTATAGGCTTTGCCTATTTATTACCATTTATTTTGTCAAGATCTTTCACTCATGGAACCACTTTGGTTGATATTTACCAAGTTTCCCTGTAGACCATTATTATTACATCCTAGGTCAGTAATAAAGATCATGTCAAAATGAAAGTCGTATTGTTACATTCTGTCAATAACACTTTGGCAGTAATTGTTGAAAACATCTCTGTTCTCTTTGCTATGTTCTTTGGAAGTGGAACAGTAGATCTTTTACCAATGATTGATCTTTTAGTAACTGGCTTGGATCTAGCATATATTCTGCACTGTTGATGAAACTAAGCCGACGAGTGACTCTTCCACAGCAGTTTCCATTATAAGTACTGCTTGGTCATAATATGTGCGACCACTATGATCTGAATAGCTGAGACACTTCTTCTCTAAAATACTTCTGATCTGCATCTGCTCTTAGTGATATGTTGATTTTTTTTGAGACCAGGGTTGTCACTTCCATCACAATCTAAAGGGTCTTTATGGACCTTTATCATTCTTTGTCTGAATTATTATACTCACAATATCACAGTCAAGGTGCTAGGGGTGTTTCTTCCCAAGGTGCTTTCTGTTGGCAGACCTTAAGTTTTCAGGACCTTAGCTTTTTGAAGTTAGTATTTACCAGGAGCCTCCATGAACTACAAGCATTAAGTAGTGTTTTGCACAGTCACTTTTACCAGAGTGGTAACCTGATCCCATTTGTCTTTCCATTCTACTGAGCTCATTTTACTGATCAACAACTGTACCAAAATGCCACGTATCTATTCTTCATTCTTTTCAGCACTGGGGCCTTAATGTAGCATTTTTTATTCTTAAGCCCCACCTTTTGCTCTTTTAAAGACTTTGAAGATTGTTCCTTGATATGGTAGCAGTACAATTCTTCCTGTTAAAATGCTATATTAAAAATTACTTTTTCTAACTATTTGAATATTGTAGTGTCATACGTGGGAGAGAATCCAAAAAATGCTCTTCTCTGACACCCACCCAGCACAATAGAAATGAGCAGTTTAACATGGTAACTTTAATCATAGACAGATATACTAACCTAATTGAGGTTTGTTTCACTAACAGTTGGAAATTCTCAATATGCAGATATTCTGAATATATTTCAATATCTGTTCTTTTATTTTCATTACTTTCCCCCCTTGGTGGAGAGTACACAGTCAGTTACTAGTTTTCTTCCTTCACTCCAAACTTCTGTCATTATCCAATGTAACCAGCAGTTTTCTTATGTAAATACTCATTGTTCTCAGTATGTTTGCCCTTCATACAGCTTCTCATTTCATGGTAATCACACAAGATCTTTTTCTTTTTAAAATCATGCTGTACCAACAAGATAAAGAACATAAAAGGAATCCAAGAAAAAACTGAGCTGAATGACATGAAAAGCAATGGAACATCTATTTATCAGTTTCTACTCCTTGAAAACATTGATCATACAGGAAAGGATTGTTAATCACCATATTACTTTTCTGTCATTTTTCCTCACCTTTTCCTTGTGAGAGATACATTTAGAGCAAAGTCAACTCTCTTCTAAGGTAGGAAAATTATAATTGAATACATCTCTGTCCAACTGAATGAAATGCAATGTACCAAAGGCATTACTTTTCTTTCCAGAAAAAAGAATGTTTTGGTTTATGTCTGGTTCTCACTCCTTCAGATGTCATGATGTCTAATGGTAAGAGGTAATCTGGAAAAAAATGAGCTCAAACTTTTTCATAAAGAGGGAAAAGTTTTTTAGAAACAAGGAACGATATGTATATGCCTCTTTGGTATTGCTTAGATATCAAATATTCAGATCCCATCTGGTTCTTTACTCATAGCCTACTTTGGAGAAATGACTAATCATCACAAAAGTAAAAATGCACCTTTCATTACTAGCAGGTTTTGTGAAATACGAGATTTCTGTAGTATGTTTAATAAAGATCTATTTTTTTTTTACTGTAGTGGATACGTATATCAGAACATATGTAAGTGTGCAAGTGCAAGAGTGTATGCAATTTTACACACCTCTGATCTCAAACTATTTATGAGAAAATATAGAAATTTTTTATAAAACAATCGGTATTTTAGTGTGGAAAAAAACAATCAAGCCAAACTTGCAACAGCTGCATATGAGATAATCTACTCTGTTCACTTTGTAGGTCTAGAGAGTAAAGTTTTTACTCACAAGGAATGCTTCTTTCATGATGTTGTCTATGACTTTAAAAGCGAGTAACATTACCATGCGGACTAAAACCTCACAAAATTGGAATAAAGTTCTTCTGCTAAGTTACTGTTAAGCAACTAAACAGATGCCTACAACAGACTTCTTCCATAATGAAAAACTTCATAAATACAATTAAGTCTGTAATTTGAATCATTTTATGCAATATCATTAAATACAAATACTCTGTCAGAAACAGAAGAGAAAAAAAAAAGAATGTTCTGCTCGTTCTGTGATTTCCTGCCAGGATATTAAAGTCTTTCAAAATGAGCCATGCATTTGTAACACAGACACTGTAGGATTAGGAAGACTGTGGGATCAAGTGTTCCAAAAACCAAAATGGAAATGCTTATCTAGTTATGGAAAGTGGATGAAGCTATTAATTTCAACAATGTAGCATACTGTGTGCACACCTACGTCTCCCAAATATAAGTAGTGAATATGTGCCAGCTTCAATTCATTTTTTTTAGTAAATTGGAAGTTTCAGAGAATATCCTGTGTTTACTGAGGCAACAGTGAGATTCCACAAGTCCTTACATGTTAAAAGATTTTGAGTGAGGTAAAAGCAGAAAGTTCATTAGGTTAGTACATAAAACATATCCGTAGTTTGCATCAGCAATTTACAGACACTCCTTAATATATTCATACCTAGAGAAAAAAAATCTTTAACCATAGAATCAAGTTTAAACTCTCTAGGAACTAGAATTATTTGGAACGATTTTTCTTTGATATAATTATTTTCCAGCTAGTCTCGTAAATATATTGAAGCTAAACATCTTTCCCAGCAGTGGTAAAACAAACCTTCAAGATTCCGAGACTATAAATACCCACATGCCTCCTTAGATACCTGCATAATTGGCCAGATTTTCCAAAATTACTTCTAACATAATAGGTTTCCTTGATTTTTGCTGACCATCTATAAATGTAAGCAGATTTCATTGGGAGACACAAACTGCTCAGTGTTTTTTTTCAAAAACTACATAAACAATTTAGGTACGTCCACACCTAAAGCAAAGCATTCTGGTTTGGAAATCCCATCCTCTCCTTGAGTTGAGCTCCTTACCCGAGTACTCGACTGTCAAAATGAGAAGCTATACACCTAACATAAATGAGTCTGTACCACACAGTGGGCAGGAATATCAAAGTAAAACACGTCCGCTTACCTTTGCCTTGCGAAAATGGTAGACTACCAGCATGCTTATGAAGTCCAGCAGCATACAGAGCGTTTGGAATGAGATGATAGCCAGCCGTAAATACTTGTCCTCCTGTGCATAGCAGGGAGTATCATCTGTACAGTAAGAACATCCTTCCCTGCAGGGTAGGCAGGTGTAGACTTCCTCTGACAATTCACCGCCAGAAAAGCGATTTTCTGCATCCTTTCCTGAAAGTATCAGAAGGGTAAGGGGAGACACCTTTAGTTGTATAGGGTGGGCAGTTCATCCATACAGGAGCAAAACAGTCCTCTGCTGACTCCCTTTTCCTCCCTGTTGGCCTCTCTCATAAAGTTACAAAATGTCTTGCCAGGGTTGCTTTTCTCATTTCACCTTCCTTTGTCACATTCAGAAAATGCAGACCAATTTAGATATGAGGGAAAGTGAGCTTATCAAATGCCGAATGCTTTCCCATTGTATTTAAAGTGGGCTAAATCTGCACGGTAAATTCTTTGAAGGAGAATTCTGAACGGGGAAAAAAATTACCTCAAAAATTTGGGAATAAGGAAAGGATTTTACAGACACATGAACAGACTCATTAACTACTTAATGTTCACAGTACAAGCTCTGATCCTATTTCAGATTATTCCTCAATTTCATAAAGATGCTATCTAGTGAATTAATTAGCTTCAAATTAGATAAAACCCTTCTTAATTAACATTTGTTCAGCATGCTGTTGCATGATTGCACTACTCTGTCCCCAAAGCAAAACCAGTGCACTTACACTAAGTATAATTTTCCATTGTTCATAGAAGCACACCAAGAAACCAGGAAAACCTATTGGCAAGTTAATATTTTGTCCACAAAAACCAGTGGTTCTTGAGCTGACATCTCATCCATCAAAGTGAACCCACTACAGGAGGATTCCTACTTTTTCTGATCCATTAACATTTGCCCATAACGCCCTGTAACATTGCTTACCCTACAGGCAATTAATGGAATAAAAAGGTGAAAGAAAAAGGGGGCAAAAAAGAATATTGTTAAATAAGAAGGAAAATTGAATTTGCTGAAATGTTTAATAAACATATATAAGATGTTTATTAAATGTTAATATATATGTTGTATATACTAATACAACAAGAAAATGTGGCTGAAGCCAAATCAATGGTGTACCATGTGCGATAACTTCTCTCACTTTTTACAAGACTAGAGAATTGCTCTAATATCTTTGATCAAAATACTCCTCTGTCAGTGAAAGTAGTAAATCATGCACTGTTTAGTCTTAACTCAAGAGACAGCCGATTCCACTGATGTTGCACATGCATATTGGCTTATGAAACTGTCTTCAGACTTTTAGCTTGAAACATTTGAAGCAGAAGGTTATTTACAAGGGTAATTATTTCTTGCTTTCTCAAACCTATGTACAAATGCGCGTGAGCACACATCTGCTGAGAGGCAAAGCCTGGAAAGGGACAAAGCAGCTGTATATCCAAGTCTGTTTACTTGGCAAGCAGTTCCAGCAATGCTGTGCTCCTCATCCTTAGTGTAGGATGCTTCACTCCCGCATCCCGCAGTGAGCAATGGACCCACACTGTCCTGTCAGAGAAAGAAGTCACAGTCTCCCACCTCCCATCTCCATACCCAAATCAAGAGTCAAGAGACTCCATACCCTACTGTTCGAGTCTTCCACTTTGTTTCCTCAACACGTGCACTCATGTCAACCTGCTTTTCCACCACACACCTGTTCCTTTATCATTTCTGTAAAGAGTCATCCTTCAACTAGCCCATCTCCAAAAAGATTATTTAATCTCTTTAAAACCTCACATTTCTGAGCCACACATGAGCCACTTGTTAATATGTTTTTATTGTGGTAACTAAATAAATTATTTTCAGTGTAAAAACTTAACCACTGAAAAAATATCATTTAAAACCTAAAGTTATGAGATTACTTAAGTCACAAATATTATGTGAATATGCCTTGATAATTTTGCATGGTCCTAAACTTGATATTCTTACTTTATTTCTGAAATATTCAACCTTGCAAGTTGTTGCAAGTACATTATAATCCATTTTATCAAGCATTTTCTTATCTGAGTCATACACGGAAGTTTCTTCATGTGTATGCTCATCACATACTACAGGGATAACAGCCAATAAACAGTTGCATGTTGGAGTAAATATCCCAAGGATATGAATTCAGAACACAACAGCAAGCCTTTGCTTAGATGTGTCTGGTGTCATGCTGTCTGCTGTATACAAAGGAAGATCATCGATATGCATCTCCTGCACTGCCAGCTATGACTGATTATCTGCTGAATACCTTTTGACTTTGAGATGATTCTTCATTATAGCTAATATAAAAAAGATCTAAAAAATTGGATCTACTTGAGATTTTACACAATATGATAAAGAGTTATTAGTAATCCCCATTTTTTTTCCCTCCTTGCCAAAAAGAAAGAACATTTTTCAGACCCTCTAAAAGAAGTTCTTGGGAAAGAACTGATCATTGTACTTACCACTGACTAGGAGCTTGTTTGTCCACCCACACCCTTGCCCTGACTATGCCCTGACTATATGTCTCAGGGCACTGCTGCCCACTGCATAGTTGAACATTTCTGCCCTTTACGTCTGGCTCTGTCCCCTCACCAAAGTCAATGTAACATCAATTCAAACCATAGACAGTCCAAGCCAAGCATGAAGTTACTGCCTCTTACAGACCACTAGACATTTCACTGTGCCATGCCTTCTCCTATCTCAGCAGCTCATTTGGATTACATATGCCTCCTCCAGCGAAGAAAATCAGATTTTCCTCCCCAAAAGATGGCAATAAATTTTAGACACTGGTAAAGTAGATGGACAAGAAGCCAATTCTGCTCCATGTAAGGCAGCCACGGTTTTAGCACTGACACAAATGAGATGGAAGCAAACACTGAAAGACTGTGCTCCAGGAGTTCAAACTGAGGATGAGGAAGGTGTAAAAAAGTACCATCCTCAAGGAAAAAAGAAAAGAAAAAATAAATAAAATGCAGTAACAAAAAGAAGGATAAAATGGAAGGAGAAAAGAACAAAGAATTGGAGGAAAGCAGGAACAGGGACACAAACTAATATGAAGTATAATAAGGAAAATGCTTGAGTACTGGAAAAATAAACCAAAAAGCTTAAATGCTTCAGCTGTGTCCCCTCTACTATATTCTTTTCTTAGTTCTTCTCTCTTCTATCCTAGTCTTATTTTTCCATCTGATCAGCCCATCTGTTTTTGAAATGGTCTCCTGAGGGTAACTCTTCATCAGCTTTGGTTCTCCTAAGCAGACTTTGCTATGCAAGGGGTGCCTCAGCAGCTGTGACATTGCTTTCTGCAAAGTAAGAATGGCACCACAGACTGCTAAGTGCCAGGGCAGGGATTGCTACCACCCCAAACAAAATCATCCCAGACCCCAGTCAAAACTCAGCAGATAAACACAGAAAGCACAGTGCATGCTGAGCGCTGAGCAGAACAAATGACTGATTCTGCTCCTGTTCTATAATAGAGTAAATTAGAAACAACACCAGTAGTATCAGCGATCCTGCAGTAACTCAGTGTGTGTGAATGTAACTGGCCCTGCCAGCATCAAAACCTGGTAATCAGCCACGGTCATAATCCTCACCCCAGAAAGGGATCACTGAAGTCAGTGACAGCCTTCATACATGCAAAGATCTGCACATGCGAGTTCTGTTGAAGAACCAAAGGCAAGGGCAGGTGTAAAAAATGGGAATTCTTGTTGAAGTGGAAACCCTTCCTGGGACTTTTTATGTGATCATAGCACCGTTAGAGACAGTAAGTCCCATATCCAGACAGAAGAGCCACTTCTGGTGCAAGCACCTTTTTGCACAGGGCAGGTTCCACATCTGAAAGCAAGAGCTGAGCAGAATCTCTGCAATATATGGATGATGCATTGCTAAAGAATGAACTTGCAGGTTGAACAAAGCACTGCTGTTCTACTAAGGACCTTCCAATGCAAACCTGATTACCCGGTGAGGCAGAGAACGCAAGTGCTTTGGAGAAGGGTGTTACAAAAATGTTAAAATGTATGTAGTCAGCAGTTAGTCTATTCTACCTACACTAATAGTGCTACCTAAAAATGAGCCATTAGGAGAAAGTGCATAATCATGTACTCAAGCACTTACAGGTTAATGCAACTTGCATACATGAAATACATTTTCTTCTAAAATCAATTTCCATCCTCAAAAGAGACCCCGGAAATATGGCAATAACTGTGCCCCACTAGTACCCAGGGTCCTCATTAACTAATGCAGAAAAAAGAGAAAGGTTTTACATATTTTGGTACTGTCAGTTCTGAAGAACAAACTCACCCTTGGGAGGAAAATGCTCTTCTACCTGGCTTCCTATGCAGTAAGAGAACAGCCTAAATTTCAGCTGTGCTCCTGACCCCCACACATTTTGGTAACTTGCAACATGTGCAACCCCCCTGGGAGCACCAACATCACGCTGCTTTCAGTCAGAAATGCAACCAATTTGCAGAATCTTTCCTACAGAGGACACTGTTTATGCAAAATTCCATTTTGGCATTCAGAGCCCCAGCTGAGTTTGCAGAGGAGGCAGATAAGCAATCTTTTAAGCCTTCCCACCAGCAAACCATGTAGAGTGTCCAACATCCATGCAAAGCCATTTTATACAGCTATCTTTCAGACTCCAACCAAAACTTTCATCTGGACCTAAAGCAGAACCTTGCCCCTGCTTAAAACTCTGACACTTGAGGCACAATCTGCAACTGTAGTTAACCATATTTTGCTGTGGTGCAGAATCCCAGTATCACTGAGAAATGCTCCCATTTCAAGACACAACACACTTGATCCAATTTTTCAATCCACACAAATACAAAACTGGTCATTTTTTCTATCTATCTATCTGCTTACTTACATCTCATCTTGAGACCTGCAAATCTTTCCTGCCTCTTTATTTTCTTCCACTAGGAATACTTTCTAAACGAGTACCATTTTACTTGGTTTCATCTCTATCACCAGACTTCAACTTATTTCCACAAAGAGATCTTCAGGTCAGACAGTTTCTGTTAAAACTGCTTGCAGGATTCATGTCTAGAATTCCTGTATTAGCATCATTTTGAACCTCCAAATGCATATTACAGCCGTTTTAACCATGTCATCTTTTCCTTTTTGATTTTTACAGAATGCAGCTGGGTGACTGGGCTAAGTTTCCTTGAACCACTGGTTTTTCTCCCATTACTTCACAGTCATTTCCAGTCTCAGACTAGCTGTCTCACTGTTTACTTTTTGAAATCACCTACAGAGCTTGGCAGATTGAGCTGCATCTGGATAAATTAAAGCAGTTCTTTATTACTGACTGTTTCAAAAGTCATGTTTATGTTAGCTCACAGTAACACGTGCTCAAATCAAAGTGGCCCCAGATCATTTAATTACACACCCTAAAATACCAGCATATGCAAACACTTTCATGAGACAGATTTCACTCTATGTTAGCAATTCAGAATCTAAATATCCAACCTAAGGTAGATATATAGTTAGCTATAGCTTCTATAGTAAATGGAGAAAAAAGGTTATTTGCCTGAAGAGTTACTTTTCCCATCTAAAGACAAATTCGGCCTTTCTAAAGCAGCAGAATTACCCTCCAGGGGAGCCACGCTGCTGATGCTGAATGCAGTTGAAACCTAGGTGACTAATACATACCAAGCATATAGATTTTAGACAGCTGATATGAGATATATGAATCTCATCCTTAATGATCAATGCTGTTATGATCTCTAGCCACATTATTTTTGTGTGTTCTGTGGCATTTGGTATGACAAAAATCTAAGAATGCTTATTCCTATATGCTCATTCAAGGAGTTAAATACCAACTCCACTGTAACTCACTGCACTGCAGGAGCAACTAAACATCATCCTTACTCTATCAAAAGATTCACACAGCCCAGAGAAAAAGCACTATCACAAGGCTGCCTTCTGTGACACTCCGCAATATGAAAAGAGAAGGGAAACAAACACTCACCAGGTAAACTGTTGAACAAACACACTATGCTATTTATGCTACATATATATACTGGAGACAAAATCTCTCTCTCTCTTTTTTTTATATATATATATATATATGAGATATACTGAGTTAGGGGTAAGATATCTTGGCCAATCTATATGCAAACCAGATTGAAATAAAAAACAGGTCAACCCATGACACAGGTCAAAGGATTTAATATCTGGAACTCAGGGCTGTGAACAAATAGGGAATTCTAAAGCTTTCCTAGTACTAAAAGTTACTTGCCTTTCATCTATAATCCCCATCACTTTTTATGTAAGAAAGCAGAGCTCAAGAGTAACTATTATAGGAAGGAACTTGGAAGCTTTATTTGCAGCTCTGTAGCGTGGGGGCATGCTTTTACAAGTACCACGTCATGTAATCCTGCACATGCTTTATCAGTACAAAACACCTGAATCTGTATCTGTGAGTATCACAGAGGTGCACGTGAAGTGTTGAACACTACTAGAAGTATTTTTATAGTGAAACAGGAACAGCTATGTTCACACAAGGCAAGAGATAATACACTCAGTCCTGGACCAAGCTTGGTGAAAGCTACTCATTGTCATTCCCATCTCATACAAACTGCTCCCGCAGCAGGGAGCTGACAACATGAACCTTTGGCTAAAGGATGGTGCAAAAAAGCTGGGGATGGTGTTTACTCAAAAGTAGGAGGCAGAGAAGGATGCCCTGTTACACCTTCAAGCAACAGCTTTACACCTGTGACTGCAGTATGAGCTCTACTAGTATAACTGCAACAATTTTGGCACAAGATCTGTGCAGAGATTACGCTTTGGTCATATGATGAAAGTAATAGACATCAACTTTGGGCATGCAGTTTATATATTTTCCCTGCTGAGTATAAACAGAGTTCTGTTTCCCTTACTGTGAGCATCACAGTCTGAGTACCATACATTGTGTGTTCTGGGCAAGTGTAGGCTATATGTCATCCATATCATACAGCCAACGAGACTCAGCAGCCCGACCGAACTCTAATTCCTCATCAGCAAGTATTAAGAGTTTGGATGCTCCTTTGGATTATCCTTTGCAAATGAAGTAAAATGAAAACAATTAAAGCCTGCACAAAGCCAGAGGCTAGGGCATTCTAGTTTGCCCTGACCAAAGAGAAAATTACTAGATTAATTCCCTCAATGCTTATGCTTGAGCACAGATGCCAGAAATCTCTAATTCTCCATAGCAAGACTTCTTTTCATGTTTTTAAATTTATTTACAAATCAAATATTCTTCAAGCGGCTATGTTTTACAGGATCCTTACGAGTATCGTGAATGACAAACCAAAGGGCTAGAACTCCTTAAGTAATTATATAATCCGAGAGTTGCAGACCACTGGGATTTTACTGTATAACCCTGATGAGGATAAAAAGGAGCCCTGCATTATTAATTCTAGTTCTGTTTTCTTTTTTCTTTTTTTTTTAAACTCAAGCAAAGGCACTTACTCTGAAAGCTGTCCACTGAGAAGATGTTGGGATGATAGAATCCAGCCTTGCAAATACATTTGTAGGCTCCGAGCACAAATCCAAGGCCTTTAATTGGCATGCACTGTAAGAAAGGAAAAAAGAAAAGTCATGCAGATGATCATACAACTGCACACTCAGATGTACATTCAAGCATAAAAACATTACAAGATACTGGCAGCAGACTTCTAAGAATAAATAGGCACCCCTTCCAGTCTGACAGTATTTTCTCAGTAACTTTTCCCATAATCATATACCACTCCAATGTTTTTTCTTGTTGTTCATCACCAACAAACAGCAAAGACAGCTATAATCAAGCCTGTCACACTGACAAACCAACCAAGTGCCAAATTTGACTCCTGTACTTTGGCTATAGGTGGGACATCAGACAGCTGTGTTTTTTTCCTGCAGTTTCTAGCACTTTTTCCCAGCATAGCAGGTGGGTTTCAGATGGCTGGAGCTCACGCCATGTGAGGAAGAACGTGGACACCTGCAGCCAAGCCACCAACCTTCTGCAGGCAGCACGTGCTGGTGCTGGTGCCCCCGCCACAATGGCAACCACAGCGGTGTGGAGACTGACCCAGTCAAAACAAAGCCAATAACTGGTTAAAGAAAATGGCTGCAGACCTAAATCTGACCCAGGTGGAAGAGAGCAAACCAACACCACAGGAGCCCCACACATCTAAGCTCTCTTTTCGAGGAAGTAATATGTGAAACAAGTTTTTTTTAACTCAACTTCACTTTTGCTTTATTTTGACACTGGGACAACCACAGCAAGTTTATTACGGTGACAGAACATCTACTGTCAGACCATTTCCGTACAACAAACAGACTCTGCCTAGTACAGAAGGGAGAAACAGTTCAGCAACATAAAGGTAGAAACACTGGTAAAATTATTTTCCTTCAGTATAGCTTACTTTATCAGATCAAAGTAGGCTACTGTACTAGATGCTCTTCCCATCAGTATAGGTGTACGTATAGCATAGGTGCACCTATACCAACATGCCCCCACAAATAGGAACTAGACACTAGCACTTCCTCAGTGAGCAATTGAATGATTTAACTAAAACACCCTCTGTTCTCTCACTTCCTTACATTTCACTTCTTTGTGACTGTCTGTGACTTCAGAATATACTTCAATCTCTAACTGCCTGTGACTGGGAGGAAGATACAGAGGACAAGGTTTAGTAAAAAAGATCTGAGTTTCAAAAATCAAATGCACACCAAGAGAGGACAGTCTGCACTGGCACTTAAGAAAAACTCAATTTTTTTACCTCAAATTTCAGCTTTGGGACATAATTCTGCCTGATGTTGGGAAAGCCACTTTGCTTTTCTTTGCCTCAGTTCCCTAGAGGGCATTGTCTTTTCTTGCACCCTTTGCCAATCTGATGTCTGTGCACGCAGTGCGGGCCTGTGGCTGCCATTGGAAAACAACTAATAAGCAAGAAACTGGCATGCAAAAACACTGAAAATTCATTCAGCCTTTGTATAAACATGAAAGGAAGAAAAAATGGAAAAATGGGAAGAGAAGACACAAATCATTTTTCTCCACACTTCATCTTCACCCTACAGAAATGTGACTGTTGACAGGGTGGAGGACAGGAGAAATCCAAGTGGGATGAGTGTGTGTGCAAGTCCAATGACAGCAAAACCTCTTTAACCAAGCGCAAAAAAGTAGTTAAAAGTAGTAAAAAGAATTTTTCAGAGGAAAATTCTGTTCTGCCTTTCTGGCTTCTTGCTTTGTAACAGGAAGGTACACGCTGCTATAGAGACTGCATTTTCTTTTTGAAGGCAAGGAAGAAAAGAAGTAGCTTCTACTGTATTCTGCTAACACTGCAGCACCCCTAGTACCATATCCATAATCCATGCCCACTGAACAAATTCTTCACATAAAATGTGTCACAGGCTTATGAATCTGTTATGCATTAAAATAATGCCTTACTGGTGATCCTTTCACACACATCCAATACTCATTCACACCAAATAAAAGTCTGTAACTTTTATTTTATTGTCGCTGACCAGTCTAGAAGTTGAAAATGAACAAAATATTTCAAATACTGTTATCTTTCCTTGGTCTAGGATATTATCCTTGTTTCCAGCCTTTGGCAGATGTAATGCCCACCTTAAAAACCACTGGTCAAATTCTGTTTCTTGCAGTCCACATAATCCCATGCAAAGGTGTCATAGGGATCAGAGTATCAGTCTGTTGAAAGAAGGGATGAAGAGAAGGAGAGAAAGCAGCCTAGATCCCTCTAGATGCAGTCTCAAACTCTGAAATTCCACTGTGCTCAACATTGCATGGAAACGGAACTATTTACAGCCTGACTTTTTTAAAGAAATCGCAGCAGCTAGGCAGGGAAGAACACTAAATATCATGTGGCCAAAAATGGGGAAAATACTTTTCCTGGAAAGCAAAAATTGCCCTCTTTCTACAAATGATTTAACAGTTAATATTCTATTAACTGATAGTGGTAAATATTACGGTGAAAAGGGTAATAAATAAACTAAGAGTTTGCTGGTGTACAGAAGGAGTTTAGCAAACAAAGTCCAGATTTGTTTAATCAGGGTTCTTTTGTCAGATAGAGAGGCTTTTCCTGGCTGGCTGTGGGTGAATCCACACAATACACAGCACGCACATGCAAGCAACTTCTGTCCTTGCCCTGGCAAGTGGCACCCTGGTTCCAGCGACCCCCGTGGCAGACCCAGAGCCCGAGCCCTGCAAAGCTGTACTAGCTCAGCCAGGGCAGCCCACCCTTACTGGTTGTGGGCTTCAGGCCACCAGGAGCTCAGAGACTGAGCAACCCACAACAGACTGGGTAGACACAGTCAGTAAAATATTAATCTGTTGCTAAGTTACTTAAGATTTGATCCATATAGAACTCAGCACCAAAAAAAGCAGATGTGTGAAAAATATCCGCCTCCACATAAGCAAAAAAAGGAAGCATAAAACTGACCTGGTTTCAGATTTCATTATAAATGTGAAAGCAAAGCTCTGGGAATAAAAACACCGCATTTTGTCTTCATCAGTGGCCATCAGCTTTTCAAAAATCATGCTTTATTTAATTCATAAGAGCAGCTACATTAGGTTAGACCAGAAGCTCCATTGAGGCTTGTATCACATCTCTTATGAGCCCAGCAGCCAGTGCTGAGGCAAACAGTGAAAGATGCAGGGTGGCTATGGAGTGAACCTTCCTCCGATATGCCCTTCAGGACATCACACTCCTAAATGGAATTTGCATTGCTTTAACCTCCAGCCATTAGTTCTTATAGATGGCTTGGTTACAATTCAGATCAGCTTCATCATAATACTTGCTACAAGGAGAATAATAGGCATCTGTACAATTCACACAGCACATTTATTCCTGCTGTCTGTTCCCTGGTTTGCAAGTTTATATTTTAAGCTTTCAGTATTTGTATAATGTAACAACGCCCAAATTTAACATAGTAGCTTTAAATTACACAGTCGTCAAGGGGAAAAAAAAAGATAATCAGTGAATATTTATCTTGAAATGATTTATAAATAAATAGCTCCTGAATCAACACAGACACAACAGCTAAACCAGTTTTAAAAAGGTTGTATTGGTTTAATTTTATGCTGCTTGCTGTAAAGGACAAAGCCGGAAAAATCTAATGTGATAAAGAATATATCTGTTGGAAAGAAAATAAATCCTTCAAATAATCTGTGCTTTGGAAGCCTGAGCCAAATCTTCTGGCATAAGAGAGGGAAAGCCCTTCATCAGATCTAATTAGGAAGAAACAAAGCGACAAAGTATTCAGCAGATACACAAAGCAGGTGTTACAGCCACAGCAGAAAATAGAAGGGGAGAACAGGGGGAAAAGAAACTAGTAGTTTAAGAGAAAGCATGTGGCATCATGTCCTACATGTAATTTAGAAACTTAGATAAACCACCAAATAAATCTGTCCTGTGGCATTCCAGAGCAGAGGGGTTAAAACAGTAATTTTAGAATTAAAAAAAAAAAGACTGAAAATGCAGCTAGCCTTGACTTGGATATTTCAAGTTTTTCAAAGATCAGCTTTCAAAATCTGTATTTCCACACATGCATACAGCAATGAGGATGTCTCCCTTTTCTAATGTCAACTCCTTGTTCAGAGGACGGAATGAGAGCAAAGTCATGATAGAAAAAGCTTAACAGAAATAATACAAATAAGCCCACATTTCTTCACCCTGGTTAGCGGCAGCACATACGGAATTTCTAGAAAATGCTACGTATGTAAAAGTCATTTTGTGCCTGGCACGTGATGGCAGCTGGAGCAGGCTGGTGTCCTGCGAGACCCCGTGAGCTCCTTTCCGATCCTGTTTATCATGTTGTCAAGCAGGCTCACTCATAAAAATAAATGAAAGAAGATAAAAATCAAGAGTAAAATTCTGCCTGCCAAAGTCAGTGACAGCTCTGCCATTGGACAGGCTTTGCCCATTATATTTTCTCACTTCATTTACCCTTCAGTAGCAGAGTTTTGCGTTAAAATGTGCTTGCAGCCTGCTCAGAAGTGAAGAGTGAGCACGTTCACGCATCCAAGGGCCTGGTGCATCACCCGGGAGCGCCCTGCTTGCCTCCGGACAGCTCGGGAGGCAGCCAGCCTGCCAAAAGGACATGACAGGGCTGGCCACTCCATAATTTACACCACAGGGTTACCTGGTAGGCCCCCGTAGCTTTTCTCCCCCTTCTGAGTGCATCAGTGGAGTTTATTTTTTAAATTCAAGTCTAAAAATGTATTTTCCAACAACAAAGTACTTAAAATGACACTGAATTGTTTAAATTCTGATTCAGACAAAGCACAACAACAGCTGATCTGATTCAGCTTAGAGCAAAGGTAGCTGTCAGGACAATATTTGTCTCAATAGCTTGAAGCTTTGCTAAAAACTCCCCACTGCTTTTTCATTATTCTTGTCTTGTTAAGCCACGGGACCAGAGTAAATACTGATGGTAAGAAGCCTCAGCTCATTCACACAGATAATTATAAACACCATGTGATTGTTAAAGTTAAAATGTCTGATTTTTTATTAATCTTTTTATTAATTTCTGTCAAAATAGTCAGAAAATGAAACAAGTTATTCAAGTTAT